AAGAGAGGAAGGAATTAGAGGGAGGAGGAGGTAAGAGGAAGATAGATGAGAGAGAGAGAGAGAGAGAGAGAGAGAGGACGAAGACAAGGAAAGGGATGGGAGGGAATGAAAAATGAACAGGAGAGATAGATAAAAGCAGGAAACAAGATAAGAGAAGAGTGAGAGATAGAGAAGAGTAGAGAACAGTAGAACTAAAGAAGAGAAGAGGGAGGCAGTAAAGATATAGGGGAGAAGAAGAGAACACGAAAAAAGGAGGAGAATATAAAACAGAGAGAGAGAGAGAGAGAGAGAGAGAGAGAGAGAGAGAGAGAGAGAGATACAATGAGGGGTTGTAATCACCAGGGATCGGAAAGGATCCCGGATTCGCATCGTTAATTTTTAGATGGAAGCTGAGAAAGTGAGGGAGACGGGAATGACTGGGAGGAGACGTAGATGAGGATTACTGGCCAGGAGAGTGAAGGTGGGGGATAATGAAGGGAGAATAGGAAGATAGTGATGGACATAGTTATAATAATGATGGTGTTGGTGATAGTAGTAATAGTAATAATAACGATAATAATAGTAACATCAGTAATCATAATAATAATCATAATAATAATAACCGATATTGATAATAATAATATTACAATAAATAGTGGTAATAATCATGGTAGGTTATTACTCTTGATGATACTATTACTACTACTGCTACTAATTATTATTATTATTATTATTATTATTATTATTATTATTATTATTATTATTATTATTATTATTATTATTATTATTATTATTATTATTATTATTATTGTTGTTGTTGTTGTTGTTGTTGTAGTCACCTTAATATTAATAATGTATCAAGAAAAATGTGATAGGTGAAGAGTAAAGCCTTATAAATATCATATAGTTGGCAGGGCTGAGGAGGATAAGTTACACAAAGAGTTAAAAAGAAACTCTTAATTGCCTTTGGAACAGAAGGATCGTAATCTTAATTGTCGTGGAAGCAGAGGAAGTAGAGGCAGTTAGTGCCACGAGTGCCGTCAGGGAGGTGACGTTGACAATGATGGAGGTGTTGGGGAGTGCCATGGGCGGGTGTTAAGGGCAGTGCCAAGGAGTGGGTTAGGGGAGTGTCAGTGGAGTTTAGGAAGTGACAAGTGGTGTTTAAGGCAGTGCCAAGGAGTGGGTTAGGGGGTATCAGGGAGTGTCGGAGTGGTATTAGAGAGTGGGTTAGGAGTGAGGGAGTGTCGGAGTGGTATTAGGGAGTGGGTTAGGGGGTATCAGGGAGTGTCGGAGTGGTATTAGGGAGTGGGTTAGGGGGTATCAGGGAGTGTCTTGGAGGGTACTTAGGATGCTAGCGGGTGTCAGGGGTGTTAGGGAGTATGTTAAGGGGGTATCAGGGGGTGTCAGGGAGCACTAAGGGATATTAGGTAGTAGTAGTGGGCGTCAAGGGAGGTGCCGGTGGGTGGTAGAGGATGCCAGCATGTGTTATGGCGTAAATAGGAGGCAGTGGTAAAGGAGCAGTATGAGGCGTGAAAGCAGATGGTTAGATGAAGACACTGATGAAGGAGGGAGTGTGAAGTATGACAATGAAAAGAAAGGAGCAAGGAACACTGAGAGATACAATGAAAAGAAGCAAGGAACACTGAGAGATAGAATGAGAAGAAACAAGGAACACTGAGAGATAGAATGAAAAGAAGCAAGGAATACTGAGAGATAGAATGAGAAGAAGCAAGGAACACTGAGAGATACAATGAGAAGAAGCAAGGAACACTGAGAGATAGAATGAGAAGAAGCAAGGAACACTGAGAGATAGAATGAGAAGAAGCAAGGAACACAGAGATAGAACGAGAAGAAGCAAGGAACACTGAGAGATAGAATGAGAAGAAGCAAGGAACACTGAGAGATACAATGAGAAGAAGCAAGGAACACTGAGAGATAGAATGAGAAGAAGCAAGGAACACTGAGAGATAGAATGAGAAGAAGCAAGGAACACTAAAAGATAGAATGAGAAGCAAGGAACACTGAGAGATACAATGAGAAGAAGCAAGGAACACTGAGAGATAGAATGAGAAGAAGCAAGGAACACTGAGAGATAGAATGAGAAGAAGCAAGGAACACTGATAAAGAGAGAATGAAAACAAAGGAGCAGAGAACACTAATAAAGATAGAATAAAAAGAAAGAGGCAAGGATCACTGATAAAGATAGAACAGTAAGAAATTTTAAGAGAAGATAGTAAGAAGGAGGAGGAATGAAGAGGTATAGAGATAATGGAGAATGAAAATGAAAGAACGGTAGGAAGAAGAAACACTGAAAGGATAGAAGAAGGAGCTAGAGCCACACAGTAAATGGAGGAAACAAAAAAACGGGAAGAATGGAGAATAAGAACAAAATGGTGGAGGAAAAAGAAGATATAAAGAAGAATGAAGAAGAATTACACTAGAAGGAAGAAAAAACAGAGAGAGGAAGTAACGTGGATTGCTAAAGAAGAGAGTACAAAGAGGAGAGATAATAAAAGATAGAATAGAGAGAAATGTGGATGAGGACCAAAAAAATCAAAAGTAATGTGGAGACAAAAATTCATGATAAGGATGGAAACAGACAGAAGAAGACAATAAATAAGGGTGAATTGTGTGAAGTGAGACAGCAAATTGATATAAACAGTAGACGCAGAAGACAGTGAATAAAGAAGAACGCGAAAACAAAACATTAGAATGACAAGATACTGATAAAGACGAGACTAGTGTGAAGTATGAACAAGGCAGCGGTTGAAAGAGAAGACAGTGAGAAAGACGGCGTAGTGTGAAGTGTGAGTGAAATATGGGAGAAAGAGAGAGAGTGAGAGAAGGGGAAAAAAAAGTAACACAGGAAGTATGGTTGAGACAGATGGCAGCTCGAACACTCGGTTTGCCAGCGAGTGTCAACGTAATGGAGGAGGGGAGGCAGGGGGCCACTCCGTCACCCAAACTCCTCGTTGGTGAAGCGAAGACCTCCAGTCAGTGTGTTTATTGTGTAATGTCACAGCCAAGAAGTGTTTACAAATGTAGATACACTTTTTGGTGGAGTTTATTCGAAGGTATCAGTGCAGGAAGTGTAGTTTATTTTGAAATAATAGAATAAGTTTAGTTTATTTTGAATAATTTGGGATAAAACATCTTTAGGTGTAGTTTATTCAGATATAGTGTAGTAAATATACAGATTTAGGTGTGGTTCATTGAAATATATATCGGTACAAGTGTAGATTTAAGAGTACATTTGTGTTGTATTTTCGTCTGATATATCACAGCAAATAGGAGTTCGTGTTTAATCTCTTCAGAAATATTGTTAAGCATCTGATTTAGTTAAGGTCTCACAGAAACAGTATCATAATTGTTGTGTGTGAAGTTAGATATGAAGAGAAATGTATCACAAGACTGCAGCCAACATTCGATATAAAAACTAGTGATTTGCGCCTCTGGCCAAGACTTAATGTTCTCAACTGCGAGCCGTAAAGTGCACACAGCGGTGATGGGTGTAGAGACAGAGATTAAAAAGGACCCTCCCTGAATAATAGAATTCTCACCAGTTCGATTCAGACTCCTAGTTCTCAGTGATTCTTAAGACGTTAATGTTTCCCCTACTTGCTGATGTGAAAATTCTCAAATTCTTACGAGATATGTACGTTTAATTCTTCACCAGAACTGAGGTGAAAATTCTCACATTCTTGAAAATTCGTACGTTAGTTCTTCTCTTGAGCTGGTGATGTGGAAGTCCCTCTAACTGACTCACCACAGTTATGACGCCGGGATTGAGGCCAGGAAGGCGTCGAAGACTCCGTGAGATGGCTGTGCTTGGGAGTTATGAGAAATTCGAGGAGAAAGAGAGAGATAGAGAGAGAGCGTAGTAAGATATATTCATGTTTTGATTCTTGATCTTCTTCCTCCCCGACTTGGCGTGTATCAAAGCATTCTGGAAAATGGACTGGTAATCTACGTGTGAGTTATTCCTTTAACGACTCCGACAAAGCTCGTACAATGGGGAACGCGTTAAGATTTTTGAGTTCACTGATGTTGAAATGCGAAATTACGCGGCAAATTTGAATCACGGCGGAGGCGAGCGCTGATTGGCCGAGTTAAATGTGGCGGGAAATTTAAATGAGCGCGTATGAATGCTGTCATCACACCGGATCAGATCATTTGCACGGTTGCCAAGTTTCTTTCTCTTTCACTGATTCTTGGCACCATTTGTCATTTTAACGTTGCATGATGACATTATTCTCGGCGGACTTGGAGCAACGGGAGACTCATGACATTGATTTTGCATGACTGTAGCGCGCCATGCCTTGAAACCCAGCCGAGGGTGTTGCTGCGTACACCGACAAAAACCCGCGAGATGGCTTACCCATTCTGTCTGAGCGACCTCCCTTCACACACACACACACACACACACAGTGGTCTAGATTCATCGTGTTGCTACATTTAGTTTAGTGTGGCTGGTGGGCAGTTTTATCTGTGAACAAGACAGTTAATGTGGACGACTTGTTCTAATTTGGCACATTCAACATTCTCTGTCTAAATGTTGATACAATAAATATCGTGGGTGTAGGTAGAGACTATATCAGTGTAGCCATATTGGTGTAGAAGTAAGATGATATAGAAGTGATATAATGTTGATATCGAAAGGTTTCTATAAGTGTATGGAAATAAAGTATATATTCAAATTATATATATATAAGGATATTGATATATTGAACCAGTCGGCGTCTTATAAGTGCGTATACAAAATATAAGGAACTTAATGTTAAAACCAAACCTAATTGTTGAACAGAGAACAAAAAAAAAACCTTAGTCATGAACAAAGAACAAAACAAGACCTCAGTGATGAACAAAGAACAAAACTGAACCTTATTGATGTACAGCGAACATAACAAAACCTTAACGATGAACAGAGAACAAAACTGAACCTTATTGGTGTTCAAGAGAAAACCAAACTTACTGATAAATAGAGAACGAAACCAAACTTGATGTAGGTGTTGAAGGCACAGAGTGAGAGCATTGGTGCTTAATAGAGCGCCTTCTAGGGCTCACGGGTATATAGTGGAGCATACTGGTATAAGAGCAGAGCATAGTGTAGAGCATGATGGTGTAAGAGCAGAGCATGGTGGTGTAAGAGCAGAGCATGATGGTGTAAGAGAAGAGCATGATGGTGTAAGAGCAGAGCATGATGGTGTAAGAGCAGAGCATGATGGTGTAAGAGCAGAGCATGATGGTGTTAGAGCAGAGCATGATGGTATAAGAGCAGAGCATGATGGTATAAGAGCAGAGCATGATGGTGTTAGAGAAGAGCACGATGGTGTAAGAGCAGAGCATGATGGTGTAAGAGCAGAGCATGATGGTGTTAGAGAAGAGCATACTGGTGTAAGAGAAGAGCATAAAAGAGCATAATGGTGTGTCCCGGGGAGCGTTCTGTCGTATTTGCTGCTCCATAAAGTCTTGTATTCATTTCTTGTACGGCGGTGGCTCCCGCCCTCCACCGCTCTGCCTTCCGCGATGTCTTTCAGCTCTGCTTCTGCTGTTCGTCTTGTTACACGTCGCGAATGTGTCTGCTATACGTGCTGTACCTCCTGCGATGCGTGTGTACTGTCCGTTCTTATTTTTTTTATTTATCTTTTGTATTTGTTTGGTCTCCCTTGCTATGCGTCATCGCTGTCGTCCGCTGCTATGCGTCTTAGTTCTCTTCGCTCTGCCATGTATCACCATTTTGTTTTGTTGCTATACATCTTGCTATGTTTGTTTTGTGTGACTGCTCTATTCTACTGCTATATATCTTGTTACTTGACTCTACTGGTTGCTATACTTTTTTCTGTCTGCGATTGTTTCTGCTATACGTCATATTTCTCTTCCGACTCTGCGTCTCTGCTTTGCCTCAGTTTGTTTTTTTCTTTTGCTATACTTTCCCGCTGTCTCCCATGCTATGCACTCTGTTTGCACATCTCAATCAATATTTCGGCTTTGCTTCGGTTTTCTCTGCTATACACATCTGCTCTGTGTTATTGATCTCTGTATCTCTCCTTGCTATACATTCCACTGCCTCTGCTATACACCTTAGCTGTAATATTGTCACTTTTATTTTGCTGTAGGGTTCAGCTGTATGTGCTCTCTCTCTCTCTCTCTCTCTCTCTCTCTCTCTCTGCTATACATCTTGTTGCTCACCACCGCTTCGTTAACTGCTATACGAAATGGCTATACTGTACGCTCTCTGGCCTCCTAAACGCCTGCTATATTATATTTTTTCTTATATGTTTACATCTGTTCTGCACCTGTTGAATAACACACACACACACACACACACACACACACACACACACACACACACACACACACACACACACACACACACACACACACACACACACACACACACACACACACACACACACACACACACACACACACACACGTCTGAAGGAAGAGTTTAGTCTTCCCACTTTATCCTCCCCATCCTCTCCCCTTCTCAACCTCCATCTCCCCATTCACCCCCACTCCCTATCCTCCCACACCTCCCCGCCCTCCCTACCCACCCCCCACCTCCCTAACCTCCCCACCCACCCCTCCCCAACCCTCCCCACCTCAGCCTCACCCACCCACCTCCCACCCTCTCGCCTTCCCCACCCACCTCCCCACCCTCCCAGCCTCACCCACCTCACCTCCCCCACCTCCCTAGCCTCACCCACCCACCCACCTCCCCCTCAGCCTCACCCCACCCACCTCCCACCTCCTAGCCTCACCCACCCACCCACCTCCCCACCCTCCCTCCTCTCCCACCCACCTCCCTCCCACTCCACCTCCCCACCCCACTCTCATCCACCTCCCCCACCCCACTCACTCTTCATCCAGAATCAAAATGCAAAGTTGTATAATATTTTTCAAGTTTTCGTTGTATTATTTCCTTAAAGCCAACGCCCTCGCTTGTGTATAGTTGAGGCTTTGTATTGTGGCCTGTGTATGATTGTGTGTGTGTATGTTCCATTTGGTTGTGTATGTTGACGTGTGTATGTTGACGTGTGTATGTATGTATATTGGTTACGTGTATAATGTTGTGCTTGCCTGGGTGTGCGTGTGTTGTTTAGGCCTTTTATGCACTTTTGTGTGTATGTTTTATTGATTGGAGTATAATTGTGTGTGTCTGTGTATTGTATACGGCTATGCGTGTGTATGTTTCACCTCCTGTCTACCTTTTTATGTCTGTGTATTTGTCTGTGAACGTATATTTCTCACGTGTTACTGCGAGCCTCTATAACCCACCTGCTTATGTACTGTGAATGTATATGTTAACTAGGTGCAGGTTACAAGGAAGACCCATGTATCATACATATGTATAAGTATATTTATGAGCGTATGGGTAATGCAACTTGGCCCTGGACAACCCCCACAGTCGACCCGCCAGACAGCCTTTAACGACCGTTCCTGAAGGGATATAATCACCCTTATTTACCTCAACCACAGAGGCCGTAATTGCCTGTCTAGAATGGATCGTTTGCTGGTGTCGACTCCATCAACGCAAATCATTTAGCCAAACACGGATTAATAATCAAAGGGTTATGATGAGGGGCAGCTTGGGTGAAGGCAACTCGCCCTTATGGTTCCCTTGGTGTAGAAGCTGTAATGGTTTGTCTTGCCCGGTGATTGGTGCGGCTGTTGGGTCGTTGCAGGGATATGTAGACTGCGGCGCCTTTTCGTACTTTGATCGTGTCTTGTATCGAGATTTTTTTTATTTTTCGTTTTTTTTCTGACTTTATAAATCGAAATGAAAATGTGTGTGTGTGTGTGTGTGTGTGTGTGTGTGTGTGTGTGTGTGTGTGTGTGTGTGTGTGGACTTTCATAGGTGAGGGAATATATCTCTCACTTCTACCTTCCCTCCCTACGTCCTTCAGTCCATCTATCCCTCTCCCTATCCCACTCTCTCTTTCTCTCTCCCTCCCTCCCTATCCCTCCCTATACCTCGCTTCCTTCCTCTCACCCTCCCTACCTGTCGGGGTAAGAAGTGAGGTGTAGTAGGGGGGGAGGGGGGTGGAGGAGGAGTATTGCCCACAGCGATCGTGGCCGCCCTGTTGTCAGTCATGACCCACCACCACCACCACCACCACCACCACCACCACTACCACTACTACTACCATCACCACCACCACCACCAATCACCACCACCACCACCACCACCACCACCACCACCACCACCACCACCACCACCACCTCCACCATTACCACCACCACCGCACCACTACCACCACCACCACCACCACCACCACCACCACTACTACCACCACCACCACCACCATCTCTACTACTACCACCACCACCACCACCAATCACTACTACCACCACCACCACCTCCACCATTACCATCACCACAACCACCACCACCACCACCACCACCACCACCACCACCACCACCACCACTACACCATCACCACCACCACCACCACCACCACCACCACCACCACCACCACACCATCACCACCACCACCACCACCAATCACTACTACCACCACCACCACCACCTCCACCATTACCACCACCACCACTACACCATCACCACTACTACCATCACCACCACCACCACTACTACCATCACACCACCACCACTACCCATCACCACTACTACCATCACCACCACCACCACTACCATCACCACCACCACCACCACCACCACTACTACTACTACCATCACCACCACTACTACCACCACCACCTCCACCACCACCACCACCACTACTACCATCACCACTACTACCATCACCACCACCACCACTACTACCATCATCACCACCACCACTACTACCATCACCACCACCACCAATCACTACCACCACCACCACCTCCACCATTACCATCACCACCACTCCTACCATCACCCACCTCCACCATCATCTACCCCACCACTACTACCACCCCCCTACCACTACTACCACCCCCTACCACTACTACCACCCTTCGATGACACTTTCTCTCACCAGATCCTACTGCTGGTGGTTGGCTGGGGAGGCGAAGAGGGGGAGGGGAAGGGATTGAGCAAGTGGGTGTTGGGAGGTGAAGGGTATAGGTCAGGTGGGGAGAGTAATGGGATGGGGTGAAGGTTATTTGGGGGGGAAGGGGAGGGAGGGGTTAAGGGAAGGTGGATGTAGGGGAAGAGGAGATGAAGGGGTGGAAAGGGGAATGGATGAGGGTAAGGGGGAGGGGGAGATGAATGTAGGGATAGGAGGAGGAGGAAGGAAGATGGGAAAGAGAGAGAGAGAGAGAGAAGGTATGATAAAGATGGAATAAGAGAGGAAAAAGAAATATTGTTGTTTGTCATGATTTATTACATTATATTTTTGTCTTGTTTATTATTATTTGTTTATTTTTAATATTATTATTATTATTATTTTTATTATTATTATTATTATTATTATTATTATTATTATTATTATTGTTGTTGTTATAATCACCACCAGCATCATCATCATCATCATCATCATCATCACCATTATTGTGGGTAATAGTGTTGGAGGGTGTACTGTAATAGGTGATATAGTGTGTGGGTAATAGTGTTGGAGGGTGTACTGTAATAGGTGATATAGTGTGTGGGTAATAGTGTTGGAGGGTGTACTGTAATAGGTGATATAGTGTGTGGGTAATAGTGTTGGAGGGTGTACTGTAATAGGTGATATAGTGTGTGGGTAATAGTGTTGGAGGGTACTGTAATAGGTGATATAGTGTGTGGGTAATAGTGTTGGAGGGTGTACTGTAATAGGTGGTATAGTGTGGGTAATAGTGTTGGAGGGTGTAATAGGTGATATAGTGTGTGGGTAATAGTGTTGGAGGGTGTACTGTAATAGGTGATATAGTGTGTGGGTAATAGTGTTGGAGGGTGTACTGTAATAGGTGATATAGTGTGTGGGTAATAGTGTTGGAGGGTGTACCGTAATAGGTGATATAGTGTGTGGGTAATAGTGTTGGAGGGTGTACTGTAATAGGTGATATAGTGTGTGGGTAATAGTGTTGGAGGGTGTACTGTAATAGGTGATATAGTGTGTGGGTAATAGTGTTGGAGGGTGTACTGTAATAGGTGATATAGTGTGTGGGTAATAGTGTTGGAGGGTGTACTGTAATAGGTGATATAGTGTGTGGGTAATAGTGTTGGAGGGTGTACTGTAATAGGTGATATAGTGTGTGGGTAATAGTGTTGGAGGGTGTACTGTAATAGGTGATATAGTGTGTGGGTAATAGTGTTGGAGGGTGTACCGTAATAGGTGATATAGTGTGTGGGTAATAGTGAGTATAGTGGAGCTTTTCGTGAAGGATGAGAGAGATGAAACTGGTGACGAAGATCCCGACAATTTTAGACACTTGAAAATACCATAAAGGAAAATCATGTGGCTGTGTCTTTAGTTATTTATATAACCCTC